AACTGCCTCAGCCTCAGTATCATCTCCTTTGTTTCTTTAATTATAACCACTTCCCGCACATACACACTTTTGATAGATGTCTCCTCCTTCCCTTTTGCACATTGTGGATTCAGATCCCCCCATTACCTCTTTCTTTCAATTCTTCTCAATACAATGCTAGATAAGCGACACGTGTAAAATTTTGAATTTCAATGGATAAGATGTTTTCTTATTCATTTTTTTCTTGTGAAAAAATTCCTTAATAATGGTTAACACTCCACCAACAACAAAAATGAATGAGGAAACATCTCATCTATTGAAATTCAAAATTTTACACGTGTTACTCATCTAACACTGTATTGAGGGCAATTGAAGGGAAGAGATAATGGAGGGGATCTAAATCCTAATTTTCATCGCCTAGTATTTCACACCTATACCACTCACGTGACATGTGCACACATTTTGCTAACTTCTTTTTTTTATTCACAACTCACAATTTGACATGTGTACATGTAATTCTTATTTTGCACATGTCAATTGTCTTTTTATAGTTCGATTGGTACAAATGATGAAAAAAATGAATAAAGAAAAAGTGAAAAAAATAAATTTTTTATCTTTGAAGAAAAAAAGTTATTTTTTTTTTTTTTGGTAGGAAGGATAGAAAGTAAGAGTGATATATTTTCTATTGTTTGGTATTTAATAAAAAATGAAAAGAAATGAAAAACATATATGCTCAATTTACAATTCTACTATTAAATATATTTTTTTACTCCAATAAGTAAAGGGTAAAAATGTCAACTTAAAAAATTATTGTCTTACCTTCACTTTCTGGCCAAATTTGGGTTGAAAATATTTGGTGGACCGGAAAGATGGAGAACCCTTCTCACTTTCCACTCCCTCATACTTTCCTTTAGCACCTAACAATGGAAACTTTTTCTTCCTTTACATTTTCCCTCCCTCACTTTCCTTCTACCCATTTTTCCACCATACCAAACACACTATTAGTTTCTATTATATTCCTTTCAATGTATTTTTTTCTGCACTTTTGATCCCAATAACTAAATCTAATAAATAATGAAACAAAACGAGATATAATTCTAGTGATTGTTTAATCATATTTTTTATGTCCAAAATTTAAATATTTATGAATTACCACTTAACATACTTTTAATAACTTCTGAAAGTAATTTTGACCCCAAATTTATTTAAATGTAATGCATTGAGTGACTGGGTCTCACAAGGTCATTATAGCAGTTCCTTCTGATCCTAGAAAACGTCTGAAAAAACCTGCTACGAAACTACTGAGCGCGGGCGAAAATAATTCATGAGCTGATACAAAATAAAAAATTTAAGTTCAAATACAAAAAAATATATTGAAAGTCAAGATTAAATTAAGATATACTAAACCAAACCAAATTAAATTAAGCCTTATGTCCCAATTATTTAGAATCGATTATATGAGTCTGTCTTTATCATTCATTTCAATTATGATCTATACCCTCATTTAAGTTAAATATTTTTATATCTTTTTTTATTATTTCGTTCAAAGTTAATTTAGGTCTATCTCTACTCCTAATACCATTAAGAAAATTCAATCACTTTTTTTAACCGGTGCCTCTATCAGCCTTTGTTGAATATAATCAAACTATCTTAATTTATTTTCTTTCAACTTGTCCTCAATTTGAACTATTCGTGCAATTTCTTTAATATGGTCATTTTGTATTCTATCGTTTCTAATTTTTCTACACATCCAACTTAACATAGGATAAACTAATTTTTATTTAGCCTAAACAAAATTTGAATAAAAAATAGTACTCAATATGTAATTTTTTAAAAGTTTGGGAGGATGAAATGCAATAAATTGAATAAAATTATAGTACAATAATATTGCATCAATAATGAACATAGTTGAGCGGCCAGTAGCCCTATTGTGCCCCGCCATTGACTTTATGGACGAGATTATGTATAAAAAGATATCAATTTAGACATTTTATGTATAAATTAAGGATAACTCGTGTATGAAAATAATGTGAATAATTTTGAGAGAAATATTGATTGCTGTTGGATAAATTTATTTGAGACCGTATGATAGACTTATTGAAGTATGCTATGTTTTATTCTATAGAATTACGACATTACAAATTAATTTTAATATTATATCAATTTTTTTTGAAAAAATAATTTTAATTTAAGTTATTTATAGTATTTTTTAAAAAAATTATAAAAAAATAAAATATTAAAATAAAAATGTCACATAACATAAGGAAAACATGATAACTTATAAGCAATGGTGGCTTAAGGAAATTTGTGGCATAAAGCGAAAGTACTAAATGAGGGTCTTTTTTATTTTTAATTTATTATGTGAGATAGAGACAAAAGAAAAATGTGCTAGTGTTGTCGAAAAAAATGTTTTAACTTTTGTTTTATTTTTTATTGGAGAGAGTTTTTAATTTTAATTTTAATTTTTTTTAATATTTTTTATAGTGAGAAAGTGGATAGGGCTAAGCATGGGTTGACTTTTGAATATTTTTTTATTTTATTTATTTATTTATTATTATTTTTAGGTTTCTAATGTTATAAATTAAATTATGAGCCCAATTAATTACAATAAAAATTTTAGCTTTACTTAATTTTTTGAGACTTTTGTTTTAGGGTTTGAAATTTAAAGGATTTAAATTTCTTCTGGGTTAGTAATGTACCTAAAATTATGAGACATTTAAAAAATTTGGAACCTAAAATCCCAAGTTTTTTTTAATACTATTGAGCCACCCCTGCTTATAAGTGGGGCAATACATCCTGTTAGATTATCGTACCAAAATATATTTTTTATGATAACTTAAATTAAGAAAAAATTTATTCACATTATTTCTAGATTATCTTATCTTTAAAGACACTTTTTTTTTATTTTTTAAATTTTCACTGACACCCTTGTTTGGTAGCAATGACAACATATTTAATGTTTTTTCATTTTTGCCTATCATATATACAAAAATTAACAAAACAAATCAAATATATATTATATATAAATATATAGATTTTTTTATAAGTTTGTGCTAAACACTAGTCAACTCAAACTCAACTCATTTAATTAATCATGTCATATTAACTTGACTTTTTATTTTCGAATCATACTTTTATTGACTCATATAATCATTGAATAAATAATTAAAAGCTAAAATTGAAGTTCAAGATTTTATTTTCTCCTAATCAAACTAATGCTCATATTTTTCATAAATTAAAAATTAACATGTTAAATATAATAATAAAACTATAAAAAAATCTTTTTTTGTAAGGATTCTATCAATATTTGATAAAAAATAACAAAAAATTGACATTAATTTTTTAATACTTGTTAAACATGCTGCTAATCATTAATTCGTGTTATTTTTGTTTGACACTAGCCTAAAATATTTATTATTTGTGTTAACAAATCATGTCATTTATATATTCGTGTAACAAAATTAACTAACATTTACGCGCCTGTGTCATTGAAATGAAATGAATTAATATCATATCATATGAGAAGGATGACGGGTGAAAGCGACATGGGTAATTTGGGTATTTTGAAAAATAACCTATGTTAGGGTGTGTATGTGAAATAATATATGAACTAGCAGGGGTGTTTGTGAAAATTCAAAACATAAAGGTCGTACGCTTAAAGATGTACTAAAATGCTTTCGGTTTTCAGTGTCTATGCTAAAATGCTCCCTTAAATTAAAATTAAGCTGTATGCGTTCTTCTACTATATTAATTCGAATTTATGCTAAAATGCGCCTATTCCTTTTAGTGCTTTGGATGCTTCTTCTCATGCTCTTGGATTTCGAGCTCGAACCCTCCCCCCCCCCCCCCCCCCCCCCGCCCTCTTTTTTTTTCTCTCTCTCTGTGTATTCATTCACGTTCTCTCTTTCCGGAGCACCACCTTTTTGAAGCTTTTCTTAAGAGATTCTACTTTCTATGCTGTGCCTGTTTTTCTCTTGATGTCTTCAAGACTCTTACTAATAAGAAGGTTGTTTTCTCTGCAGAACGAAAGAGCATTTGCAATGCATGTTGTAGTGATCTGTCTCTGACAGATTCTGTGTCAGTACTATTTTTTTTCTTGTCTTTTTTGATTTTAAAAATAGAAAAAAAAAAAACATTTCAGAAAGAAACTCTGACTCTTATGACCGGTTTTAAATACTTATATTTTAAATATCTTTGGTTGGTGTGAAAATAATTTCACTGAAAAATTCTGACCCTTGTGTCCGGTTTATAGGAAGCTGTTGCAGTTTAAGCAGACCTATTTGGAATTTTTTTCAGAAAATTCATTGTTAGTTGTGGGACTATTTCTTTCACGGCCAAACACTTCCTCTTTTGACCTGTTTTGAAGGTCTTTGTTGGTATTTAAGCAGATCCATTTTGAGATTATTGGAAAATCTTTGTTTGGTTGTGACAATATGGAGAGTTTGGAAGTGGGTAATCTTATTTAGTGATGTTTTGTGTTCTTTGAGGTGTTTGGATTACCAAAAGGACAATGTATGTAGAGTTTACAGTGGATTTGGAATGTAAAGTGACTAGAACATTCTGGGTTTTGTTTTTGGGGGCATAAATACCAGTTTAGCTTTATGCCTTTGGTAACAGTTTCGTTTTGTTTTGGAAGCTAATGCAGTCTTCTATATACTTTTGTATCTTGTTTGAAGTCTTTATGCAGATGCACTGTGCATTTAGTGTGAGATCTATGAAATGAGGGTTTGGAGGGGGTTAAGGGTTTGGATTTGAGATCTTTGGGTGTGAATGTCACTTTGGCTGCAAAAAATTGGGAAAACCATGGTAAAGACAGGAGCATTTATGAGGGTGTGGGCATTGTTTGAACTAACAGTAATTGGAAGCCTGATATAACTTCATCTGCTTCCCAGTGCCCATCAGTTTGTATGCTTTAAAATTGCTAGAAATTCAACCTGGATTTGGGGTTCTTCCCTCTGTTGCATTTGCAAGTTGATCCAGAGAGGAAAAGCTGTCCCTTTACAATCTTTAGCATTGAAGAGATGGGTTGTGTTGCGTCTCGAATTGATAAAGAAGAGAGAGTGAGGATTTGCAAGGAGAGGAAGAGGATAATGAAACATTTGTTAGTATTTAGAGGAGAATTTGCTGATTCCCAGTTGGCATATTTGATAGCACTGAAAAATACGGGAGTAACCCTTCGGCAGTTCACAGAATCAGAGTCATTGGAACTTGAGGATACACCATGTGGCCCTGCATTGCCTCCCTCGCCTCCACCCCCTTTGCCACCTTCCCCACCTCCACCACCCACGTTTAGCCCTGATTTGAGAAAATTTGAGGATAATTCTGCCACCCAAGAAGAAATCATAGAAATTGATGAGGAGAATAGTTGCACCCCGCCTCCGCCTCCAGTTCCAAGTTCTTCGTGGGATTTCTGGGACCCTTTTGGTCCTTCTTCGCCGCAATCTTTGAAAAAGAGTGAGACTGTGGAGCAGGTTGAGGAGGAAAATTGGGCAGAGGCAAATACTGAATTTGAGGAAGAAGATCAAGAAGGGGAAGTTGTTGGCAATAGTGTTGTCAATATGCTTCCTAAAAAGCAGCAGACTGTTGAATTGGTTGATGATAATTCATCAATGATGAGCTGGCACACTAAAGACACTGCAGATATGGCCATGGTGCTCTGGCGGCGTAAGAAGACCTTGGCTGGTATTGTAAAGGAGTTAGATGATTATTTCCTGAAAGCATCAGCTGGGGGAAAGGATGTACCAATACTTATGGGCATCAATATGGGTGACACCTATCTTTACCAGAGCACCAAAGAAAACAAGAGTAAGTTTTTCCTTTCCTGTTAATTATCAAAAGTCTAGCGTTTGTCTCCTGTGATCTTGCACTGGTTCTTTACATTGTTTGATTTGTTCTGCTCCTTGAATTCAAGCTTTTTTTGTAGGATCTTTTGCTCTAGTTTCTTTCCTACCAACAACTTCATTAAAGTTCATTAACATCATCATTGCATTTTTTTGTACTGGCCTTCATCTCATCCTCAATTTAAGAACATGTGAATATGATTGTATCTGTTAAGGCTTCTGTGCGTACCATCGTGATTGTTGCTGGACACTTGTGGCACGGGTTTACGTAGACTTTATTCATCCTGTATTTGTTCCTTGGACATGGTAAAGATTATTACAAAATTCATTGAATTGGGGGCAATCGTGCCTTTGTTATGACTTGCTTCCTGAAGATATAGCACATGAAGTTTCTCATTATTTCAGTAACACATTGTTATGGGGTTCTTTTTTTGTAGTTTAATGTCTATGTGATGAACATGAATGTTAAGCTTGTCATTGCAAAAGCATGTTCCTTTTTCCCTCTTGATTTCGGGGTTGGGGTTGAAGGGTGGTGGGATTTATGATGCAGGTTCCTCTGGTATCGTCCATTTTGGAAAAACAAAACATGGCTGTGATTTTGAAATTTTGGGGCAGTTTGCACATCAATTCTGTTAAATATCTTAAGCATGATACACATAAAATATTCTTTAAACAGTGTTGAGTTATTCTTTGCTGAATTTCTGATTTTATTTTGTTAAGTTTAGAGAGTTAACATAATATTAGAGAGAGACGGAGAGTGGTCAAAACTTAAACTACCTCTCACAAATCACTTGTATTTATAGTTATCTCGTAATCATACAAAAGACGAGTATATCTTCTTTAAGGTATATTATTACAACTAGTATTTACATAATAATACTTTAATACTCTTATGGATGGTTGAAACATTACTGATGACATCTTTGCAAAATTCTTCAATAGTTCCATATAGAATGGAACTTTGGGCCTACTTCATGCATGTAGAGTGAGCATATAGATCTTGTCTAGGGTTATAATTGATTAAGTTGGGCTACTCCAATAAAAATACCAAATTCATTTCACTGAAAGCCTTTACAACATAGTTGTAAGTACAGATGTGTAACCAATGGCCACTCCCATAGAAATTTTAATGCTAATCTAGCCCACATCTTCCTCCTCAAAGTTTATCTTTTATCTGTTCTTTTCTGTTGTTATTATTTTTGTTTCCATCTCTTTTCATTTCTAGCTCCTGTGCCTGCAAAGAGATAGAAAAATAAATTAATGCATCAAAGAGATGTTAGAGGTGGCACAAGATGAGGAAAGTAATCTAAAGATGATATGGTCATGTCATGATGCAGTGAAGGTAAAATAGGTGAAGGCACCAAAAGGACAAGCGGAAGGCCACAAAAATTGTAGTTTGAGGTGAGAAAGGAAGGATAGCCAAGTGTTATTAGAGTTTATAACTCGAAATAGAGGCAAACGTGTAGCAGATTCAAGCTGCAAATCATTATTTCTTGTGATTGAGCCTGTGCTGGGTTGATTCTTGAAAAGTTAATATTATCAATATGAACAGGAGAATTTAGGCCAATGTGAGCTAATCACTAAAGTTACACATTTCTCTATTTGTGTACATTGCAATAAAGTTCACTAACCACAAATTGGGATGCTACTGGGATTAAAGGGATACCTTCTGGATTCATGTAAATTCTAGAGTTACCTAATTTTTCCTAAAAGGTGAAGTCAATTGTGGGAGATTGGTCAAGCCTTTGTTTTTGGGAGAATATAAGGAGGGTAGAGTCTTCATTTTCTAGTCTATTTCCTCATCTTTATCGTGTTTCTTTCTATCATGGAAAAGGCATTGCATCGCCACTTACATCTTATTCTTTTCTGGCCCCTCGGAAGAGTTGTTGGTACTACTTTCTATGTTAATTGTTGTATACTTGTTCTTGTTCAAAATTAAAAAAAAAAAAAGTGAAAATTGAAGGTGAGTCCCCCTAGACTTGAGTCCTGGAAGAAAATTTATTTGGGTGTAAGTCCATGTTTAAACTTATATGTAGGTACTTAAGTCCACTTATGTTTTAAATCTCAAAATTACTCCAAATGGTGTTAATTTTGTCCAATTATGGAAAGTCACATAGGTTAAATCATTGAGGTATATATATAAGTCCTTAATTGAGTTATATATGGAAACCTTTTATTAAATATTATGATAATTAACAAAAGTTTTATATGAAAGTTATATATTCTGATAGTTATATATCGTAACTTGATGTACAAATAAATCATTGGTCTATTAAATCAAAATTAGATCACAAAATTTGCTTAATAATTCAAATTTTTCTTGACATTAGTGTTACTATAGTGACACGAATGAGATTGTTTTTCTTAAAATATTCAATACCCAAAATGAAGAATTCCACCATTTCAAATAGTAACTCAAACCCAACTCCAATTTCGATTTTACTCTTCAAGTTTCCTGTGGAATCCATTGACAAAGTTACAGTTGATTCTTTGCATTCAAAACATCTTCTCAACTTTGGAATTAAGAAATAGAGTTAAGGTATGTGATTATACATGAAAGTTGATGTTCATTGTAGGGTTTTAAAAAACTTATACATAATATATAGTTCAAACTATCCGCTTTGTTTTTTTTTTTACATTCCTAATTTAAAATTTGAGATTCATTATTACTAAATTAAAGTGTTATATAATTCGATTTTGTTGTTTTCTTTGTTGTGCAAGACATTCGAAATACCTTGGTTGTGTGTCTGTGAAATAGATCATGTTAGTGTGTGATAACTGAAAATCAAATAAGTTGACTTACAATAGTAAACTTGAGAAAAAGTGGACTTAAAATCAAATAAGTTTCTTTACTAGACTTATCTCCAAATAAGTCTATGTAGGGGAATCGGCCTCCAAATTTCCCAAAAAAAAATGTGTATCCTTTTCCGTTGCTTTTGCTTGTAAGTTATACTTTGAGTCCTCAAATTAATAGTCCTTCACTTTCATTATTTTATCCATCCGTCAAGATTTAGAATGCATAAGTTCCTTAAATGTTGCAAATTTATGCATGGATAATTGTTTATGGTAAAATTAATACTAGTGATATGATTCCAAAAAGGGACTTATGACTTGTCTTTTACTACAATGTTGTGTTATGCGGGGATGTGGGAGGGTGGATCATTTATTCTTGCATTGCTTTATAGCTTTATCATTACAGAATAAATTGTCTGAATTAGTTGGCTTGAGTTGGGTGGCACTTAGATTTGTGACATCTATGATGTTCATAGATTCTATGGGGCTTGGAGGAAGTAAAAGAGAAAAAACCCTTTGACATTGTGTCTTTTTTGCTATTATTTAGGTTTCATGGATGAAGAGAAATGTAAGAATCTTTAAAGTTAAATGGGAGAAAGTTGACGATTGTGGAATCAACTTTATTTCTTGCATTCTTGTTGGGCATCCTTGACTAAGGATTTTGACAACGTTCCTCTTTTTAGCATTATGGCAAGTTGGATAGGATTGTGCGGGTTGTAATCTGTTGAAATATAAATATATAAGTTACATCCTCTCGAATAATTTAAGTTTTTGTAGTAGATGGTTGTTCAACATAGTATTAGAGTAGGAGGTTTTGTGATTGATTCTCACTGCCACCCGAATTATTAAAAGATTGTCACATGCTAGTCAGGAGGGAACGTGTTGTATAAATACTTAAGTTACATCCTCTCCAGCAACTTAAGCTTTTAGAGTAAATGGTTGTTCAACATAATCCATTGTCCATGCTCTAGTTTATGCTTCTTTTGACTTTGATTTTGATCATCATTGGGCTAGATGACTTGTCCACCTTTGATTGGCACTTGTAATAGTTTTTATTTCTATCATTAATATACTTCTTGTTTCTTGCTGGTAAAAAAATTCTGATGACTATATATATCATGTACTATTTTAGCAATATGATTGTCCTCATTTGCCTTGAGGCCTAAGAATTGCTTTTACATATCGATTGAGCCTCTGCAATATATAAAAGCTTTCAACCTTGTCATTGTCCCTTGAAGAATGTACCTGATCAATGCTCTAAGCACTTCCCCCCTCGTGCGGGCCGCCCCAATAACTATGTATCTATAAGCACACATGTTGATCACCCGCTTGTTGACCTTTCTAGTACTTGATGATCCATTTTTCAAACTTCTTTTTGAGTTATCCAATCGAAGAAATTTCTTTTGAAGTTTATAGTGACTTTGTCATCTACAGGGAAGAGATGTAATTCTGCAAAGGTCTTTAGTGGACTGACATGGAGTTGGTCTTCTAAATCACTTCAGCCTACAAGAGGTGCTGGAGAGTTCTCTGACCCAAGTGAACCCTGCAGGCTTGGAGCTCATTGCATAACACTTGAGAAACTATACACCGAGGAGCAGAGGCTCTACAAACAAGTAAAGGTATTTTCCATTTAGGTTATGGGGCTAATTACTTTTTGCGTCTCATTGTTAAGTCCTAGAACACCTTATGTCCTTAATGTTTGAAAATAGATACATAACCACTTAATTTTTGCACCAAAGCAGAAATCCTAACATGGTTATCAAAAAATGAAACAACAACGCTATTTCTGCCCAGCTCTTTAGCTTTGTCTGCAGTTCTAAGAAAATTTTCTTGCCGTTGCATTTCCAAGGAATGACTCTCTGCGCAGCTAGGCTTTATTACTGTAACTGTTGAATTGACTCCATAGCAAATAGTGCTGAAGTGAATAAATCAAATGTCCTTGACTTGATCACCACTTCGATATCACGCTTTTGTTATGTACCCGGCTATGGTGAAGAAAATTTTGGATATAGTTACAATATTCCAGCATCTTATGAGGATGGAAGATAAATCATTTATTTACTGTTTTTCTTTTTATGTTTTTTGGTAATGTTTCTCTTTATTGACCTTTTTGCTTCACTTGGAATCTCCTTGTTTTCTCATGGATGTTATCATATTCTTATGAAGGATGAAGAGATTACCAAGTTAGAGCATGAGAGGAAATCCTTGCTGCTGCAAAAACAAGAGGATGAAAATTACGACTGGACCAAGACTGAGAGAACACGATTTAGTGTTGAGAGTTTGCAGTCTGACATTACATGTCTGCAGCAATCAATCAGTAGGAATTGCTCAACCATATTGGGGCTCATAGATGAGGACCTGCACCCTCAGCTGATTGCATTGACTTCCGGGTAAAGTTTTGGACATTGAAGACTTATTTTGGTGTAGTCGTGTAGGTGAAAAAATGAATAGGTTCAGGAAAGATTTCTGAGATCCCAGCACTTATGGCTTAGGCACAACAATTTGACACCACCAAAAACATTTTGTTGAGATTAGTTTGAAGGAAAATGATTTTGTTTTTTGGGCTTCCTATTTAATATGGCCATGTATCTTGCAACTCACACCATCCATTAATTAAGCAGTAATAGCTTACTGGTGTTCCAATAATGAACAGGTTGGAGAATACCATTACTACATTTACATGTCTATTTTCCTAATTGGATTGTTATTCTCTTAAGAAGACAGAGGATTAGGTGCTGTTGGGAAAACTGTTGTTCTCGAGTTGATTTAAAACCAATTTGGAACCATGGACAGTTGCTTTTGCCAACATGGAGGAGAATGAGCAAAATGATGAATCAGCTGCAGATTGTGTTGCCCTACGAAACGAAGCTTGTGGATTTTATCTTTACAGTTCAATAATGCTCACCATAATCATTCTGAGAGTCATATTTAACGATGATGAAGATCTTTGACAGTTTCTTTATAAGTTTTGTCTCATGTCAATGCTCCATCTTGCTCTTTGTCAGGACATGTTCAGTTGTCTCTTATTTCCAGCTCAAGTATTATTATTTGGTCTACTTCTTTTACAGGCTAATACATATGTGGCAAACAATGTACGAGTGTCATCAAGTTCAGAATCATATCTCTCGCCAGATGAATCAGCTCGTAAATCAGCAAGGCATGCACGCAACTACTGACTACCATCAGCAGGCTGCATGTCAGCTAAAAACTGAGGTCACTTCCTTGTACAACAGCTTCTGCAAGCTCGTGAATTCTCAACGGGAGTATGTGAGAACTCTCTGCAGTTGGATCAAACTCACTGATAGCATTGTGGATAACTGTCATCGAAGCGGTAGCTCATCTTTGGTACATGCCCTTTGCAAAGAATGGGAGCTAGCTCTTGACAGGTTGCCAGACAAGGTACTTTTCGCTATATATTAGTACGTTCAAGCTTATGAAATAGTTACTGATACCTATATCCAATGGGCTGATTCTGTCATGTTCAATCAATATGATTCGCATACAATCTGCACAAATTGATTAGTGGCCGAATAAGGGCAACATAAACTCACAAGTCTTGAGTTTGAGTCCCCCTGGCCACATGAAATCCTGGTTTAGCTAATGAGTGGCTTGTCGGTGATTGTGTGCATCCGAGGTTTGCATGCCAGTCATGAACTCTATAGGCATGTGGTTGGGACTTGGGACAATTCTCCATCTCAAAAAAGGAAAAGAAAAAAAAATGCATCAATATGAGTTCTCCACCACCTGTTCTATATCAAAACTTGGAAAATATTCTGGTAACATTTAATATCAGTTGATACCCACCGACACAAAGTCCATCTTATGGTAGGTCCTGCAGTCCTGCTCTATGGAACTATATGCCTAGCAAGGGGGCTTGAGACAAAGGTTACTTCATATGCGATGCTTTGGTGTTTGGAACAGGATAGATATGCTCTGTTCTGCTTGTCAAGCTTTTGGTACAGTGGGGTCAGGATAGGCTTATATGACTTTAAGCAGCTTCTCTTAATTATAAGTTAGATCTGATTATATATTGGGTAGTGCAAATGCAAGACTGGGTTTCTTTCGCACTATAAACATGATGGTTGTCCCCTGTGTCCATAAATTCCCAGCTAGTTTGGATTCACAATTTCTCTTTTTCCTTTGAGAAGGCAAAGGGGAATGGGGAGTATGGAGTGATCTAGATCATGGTTTGCTAGTGTAGTAGCCACTTGTAGTGCAGTCTTGAGACCCATGCCAGGTGTAGAAGAATGGCCGACAGTTTTTTGTTGTGGCATAAGTGGAAAAGCTAATCAAATCTACCATGAAAGGACAGGATTTGACATGGTATAATTAGTGTGGTTTGCATGTTGGTTATGGTCTATAGACTCGGTGAAATGATAAGTGGAAGGGTTTTTTTTTTTTTTTTGGGTAAGCATAAGTGGATTGTTAATTTATTAGATTTACATGTTGGTTGGGAGAAGGTAATCAAGGATATCTGGATATCCCACTAGGACTAAGCACATGAGCATAATGACAACATGATTCATGTGGCCGATGCCAATATAATTGGTACAAGGATTTGCTAAATTAAATTGAGTTGAATACTAAATTAGGTACATCACACTTCCATTGGTCTGAAAATTGTATGTGGTGTTTTAATTTACTTTAACTAATAGATTAAGATCAAAGAAAATTTAGATTTGAATCTAGTTGAAACAATAAAAGTAATATTAGGGTTACACAAAATGAGAGGCAAAGAGAGAAAGAGAGAGAGAACAATCAGTTGTGTGAGCTATATAGTCCTACACCCCTCTTATTTATAATGGACTAATATTATTGGCAATTACAATATTACTATACTATTAACAATATAAAATAAGAACTCCTCATGCTGGAGTATAAAGATAAAAAATATTCAGCTTGAAACAAATATTATTAATGACATAGTAAGTCAATGGTTTGGTACGAATGTCACCTAGCCGAACACTAAACTTGATATGTAGTGTGATAATCTTATTTTGTATCAAAAGATTTCAAATAAAATTATAATTCATTTCGATGTGTTTAGTATGCTCATGAAATATCGGATTACTGGTAATGAAAATAGCTGCTTGGTTGTCACAATGTATCTCCATAGGAGAGGACACACCGATACCCATATCATAAAGTAGAAAACAAACCCACAACATCTCATATGCAATATGAGTCATAGCCCGATATTCGACATTTGCACTTGAATGTGTAACTATATTTTGTTTCTTATTATGCCAAGTAACAAGATTACCACCAACAAATGTACAATAATCTAAAGTAGATCGTCTATTAACACGATTATTTGTTCGGTTAGCGTCAGAAAATCTAGTAATAGTGATAGATGATGACGAATGCTTTTACCTAGTGTTTCTTTCAGATGCCAAATAATACGATAGACAACCTCCTAATAAGGCTTATGAAGAGCGTGCATAAACTAACCACACCAACAACAAATATAACATCGAGATGCATAATTGTGAGATAAATCAACTTAGCAACTAACCTTCGATAGCACCCTATGTCATCAAAAACTCCTCTACTCAGCAATTAACTTAACTGTAAAGTGTATGGGAGTATCAACGGGGCATGCACCAAGATTATGAGTTTCAAACAACAAATTCAATGCATACTTCTGTTGGTATAGACTAATACAATCTTTTGACTGAGCCACTTCATTCCCAAGAAAGTATCGAAGAAGACCAACTCCTTGGTATGAGATTGTTTTCTCAGATGAATTTTGAGTTGAGCAATACCATCTGAATCATTACCATTAATGATAATGTCATCAACATACTCTATATAAAAATAATAACAATTATAGAAGAAAGAAAAATAAAAAGTGAATAATTTGAAGTAGAGCACTGGAAATCGTACTGAAGTACAAGTGTACAACAATAATAAATTTATCAAACAAAACATTTGGTGATTGTTTCAGGCCATATAGTGTTTTTTGGCCATATAGCGTTTTCTTTAGACGACACACCAATTATTCCTTACTAGAAGTAACATAATCTGGAGGTTGTACGTACCATATATACTTGCAATAGGTGTCTATGTAAAATGGCATTCTTAATGTGAAGTTGATGCAAAGGCCAATTCAAACTAACTACAATAGAAATAAAAATTGTAATAGAGTTAAGACGAGCAACAGGGAAAAAGTTTCACAAGTAATCCAATCCACACCATATATCAAAAGCTCAATAGATTCGTCGATGTTAGGAAATTATTCGTTATAATTGGCAAATCCCTTGAAGTCTTATTGTAAATCTCAATCTTAGTATATGATCATGATGGTTTCAAAGATCAAGATTTGAAAGCTTCAAAGAAAGGAGGAGTTTAAACTTCAAAGTCAAACCAAGAGATCTTCATTGCACCTTCAAGAGCTTAGGAAAGGTAATGACTTCAATACCTAAGAACCTTGGTTTTATACTTTGGCTCATTGGGTTAATCAATTGGATTTAGGATATTTTGTGAACGACTCTTAGGCTTTTTTATGAAGAGATTGAAATTTGTTTTAAAAACATAGTTTGAGTCACGTATCGTATCCTATTTAAGCAACACTCTGTAGTGTTCAATAGGTCAAGTTTTTGCTTGGTTTCTAAAAACCAGTAGGGACCACCATTTGCTCGTTCGTCTTCGGTTAGAGCGGTCTTTGAATCACTTATGGAAAATCCGGAGAAGGCAAAGAAGTAGGCTGTGAAGATTGCCATTTGGATGCTCTCAAGCTACTCAAGCAGTCTAAAGACAGCTCGAGCAATCTCTGCTCTACTTGACTGGTTTGATTCTATTTTTCGTTCTAGTGACAACTGCCTTTTGATAGCTTGAGTAATCATTCTCGAATTCAGGTTTTTTAGGTCCCCAAATCTACTCAAATTCTGATGAGATAAATAAGGCAAGCGTCTCCTAGCTAGGCTAACTCTCAAAAGCACTCCAAAGCTCGCTTTTAAACATTTAGAGAGCCGAGAACAAACCATTGATCCCTAAGATTCAAATGCCAAAACCTACATGATTCTTCCATTCAATATCACACATTAAAGAAGAAGATTGTTTGGTGAATGACCAAAATCACATAGGTTGTGTGTATATCGAGAATCTCGGGTGCATCCTATAAGATTGCTCGAGGCTTAGACAGTTCATTGCGGTGAGCGCATTCAAGTGAAGCTACTCAAGCCTTCGGTGGGTGTATTCGGAGGAGATATTGCAAAGGAAGAAAATGTCTAACCATGGGTATATTGGTTGAGGTATAAGACTTATATCCTTGTAAATGACTTTGAGTTTAGTGGATTAGGCTAGATGAACTAGGATCGGTTCTTCACTTTTTTCCTTGAGGGTTTCCATGTAAAATCACTTGTTGAGAATGATCTTATTGTTAGTTAATTGTCATACACATATGCAAGTGCATACACACATTGTGTTTGATGGAATGACACACTGATTTACATATCTTGAGTTGAAGGTTAGTTTTAGGGTTTAGAATGAAGAAGAGGCAAGAGAGAAGAAAAGAGAAAAAAGAGACGAAAAAGATTAGAGACATTAGGGTTTTGAAGAATGAGAGTTAACATAACTCTCCTCTCATCACTCATATTTATATTAACTCATAATAGGCTGCAGATTATAATTATGCCCCTAATTAAAATATCCTAACATTCTACACTCCCCCTCAAGTTGGAATATAGATATTTTTTATGCCCAACGTGAATATATCTGAATGAAGAGTCCTACAACTAAGCCCCTTAGTAAACACATCGGCTAATTGTTCATTGAACGTCACAAAGGGCATGCAAATTAACCCATCATTTAGTTTCTTTTTGATAAAGTGCCTATCAAATTCAATGTGCTTTGTTTTATTATGCTGGACTGTGTTGTGAGTAATATTTATTGCAGCCTTATTGTCACAATACAAACGCATAGGCTTACCATTAGAGAGACCCAAGTCTTCCATTAAGATTTTCAACCACATAAGCTCATAAATACCATGAGCCATAGCCTAGTATTCAGCCAATGCAATAGATCAGTCACCATTGCTTGCTTCTTGTTCCGCCAAATAACTAGATTTCTTCCCATAAAGGTGCAGTAACCCGTAATAGACCTTCTATCATCAATTGAGCCTATCCAATTTGGAATGCTTCTAACTTCAAGTGACCCTATTTTGAGAATAATATTCCTTTGCCCGGAGATGACTTGAGGTACCACAGTATACGATAAACTGCCTCTTGATAAGGAACTCGAGGAGCATGCATAAATCGGCTAACAACACTCATTCCATATGCTATATCTAGGCGAGTGAGAGACGTATATGAGTCTCCCCACAAGCCACTGATATTTTTCCCCATCAACTTGGTCACTTTCATCATTTCTCGGTTTGTGGTTTGTCTCAATTGGTTAGTCGGGCAAGTCTACAACCTAAC